AGGAGGTTTTGCGTGAAGAGAAACCAAAGGTACTTTACTAGTAGAGAGACGCTGCCAGGTAGAATTAATTCACACACGCTGTCGGCTCTCACTAATGCATTCATATTAATGTAATATTTACTGTGCTACTTTATCTGTATCTGATTTAGAATGAGCAGAAACCTGTGAGAAATATAACGACCCAAAGACAAAATAACGGATTAAAAAGCTGTTATAGGAGCAACAGCCATGTGGGCAGCGCTGTGTCATATGCCATAGTTGTGCACAAGGTGTTTGTCACAGCTCCAGACTTATTTGTTCATTAATGACGTCATCAGCGACTAGTCGACTTCGACTCGACTTTCATCACATAAAAGTCGACTTCAAAAAATCAGAAGTCGTTCAACCCCTAGTAGTCAGTGGTTCAGTAAATCTGGATCAGTCAGGTCAAGGTAGCTCATTTACTGGTCTTTTTTTTTAATTTTTATTAAAAGTGCTGTAAACTACTAAATGTAAATGTACAAATGTTCATTTTCTGTGAAGCTGCTTCGCAACAAGTATATCATGAAAAGTTCTACACAAATGTGAATTGAATTGCAAACAGTTATTAATGAATTTAGGCACTATATACACATTCATTGCAAATTATGAAAATTAAAAAAGTACTTTTTTTTTTTAGTACTTTAGTTTGTATTCATTTATTTTTGGGTGGGGGAGTGGGGTTGAGTACCACCACATCTTTTTTTCCTACTACAAGCATTGATTGTGTATCATATGCACGCCAAAGTCAATTTCTGCGTATAAAATAGCATGCCAAATAGAAACCACACGTTCTTAGAAGCTCACAATTATTTGTTGTACCATAAATGTAACAAAATAATTTAACAAACTTAAATGTAATGACCTGTGTTTGATGATACTTGTCTTTATTTACTTTGATGTATGGATCAATTTGGATTTCTTAACCTGATAAATTAAAAGGATTTGTTAAAATAACAGAGCAATAACATTTTTACATCAACGCAAATGCATATGCAATATTTGTAACTTAAGTAATAATAAAATAAAGAGACCGTTATTTAACAATATGTTAAGGAGTAGTAACATTTGTACAGTCTTACAGTTACAACTGGCCCTTTGATGGCAGCCATAATGTTGATGAAGTGGCCCTCAGTGAAAATGAGTTTGACACCCCTGCCTTAGAGCTTAGTTTGAGACTCAAAATGAGGATGGGCACATATACAGCAGTATCAATACTGACAAGGTCATTTATTTGGGATCAAAAAGGGATACTAAAATTATATTAATACAACACATGGTTTCTGAACTTTTAATTTCTGTGCCAAAAACCCTTGACATATTTAGCTGGTCCATGTCACATGATTAAAAAAAAAAAAAAAAAAAAAAGAACGCATTAAAATGGCCTTTCAGGAAACGTTAGGGCCCCATTTAAGAAACTGTAACAAAGTATCACCCATTCCTAATGCTAATCGAGGTAAAATTAAGCATCAACACCTGACTAGCAGTAGATGAGGACGGGCCACCATTTTCAGCTGGGAATGCAGATGAGGTGGATGCTCCTGCCTGTAACAAAAACAAATTCCAAACTATTCATCATTGGCTCTTTAGCCATTTTTACTGCATCCTGGATGACCCACATGCCCAACTTCTCTACTTTTGTGTACTAAGTAGTGCTGGTCGGTATACCGGTTCATACCGAATACCGGTGTTTATTTTTGTTATGAATTTTTAAAATACCGCAATACCGGTGTATGTCTCTTAAACAACGTTCGGAACGCAACACTGTTTGAAAGGGGTCCCTTTTCACTGTTGCACTGTGGTGAGGGAACAGCTGTATGTGTTACTAAGCGTGAAAGTTCCGAAACTGAAGCTGTAGAACTAATAGAACGTGATGACAGAAGAAATGAGAGTGACTCCTGGTTAACATGTATTAAAAGGGGTCGTGTTTAGTCACTATTTAGTGTGGTATTTTTTGACAATATTCACTCATCATGACAGTAAAATAGGGCATTCTAAGTCAATATACTGCAGTATTTCCTCTCTCAATCAGTAGAAAATATTGTTAACACCCGGTCATGCATGAAAAAAAAAATAATACAGTCATGTACCGTGAAACCGGTATAATTTTGAAAAATACCGTGATATACATTTTTGGTCATACCGCCCAGCACTAGTACTAAGAGCAATGCTAGGGATGCATGACATAACGGTACCATATTCAGTAAACGTATAATACAAGCTGATATCAGATTTGTCATCAGGAATTAATCAGCCACTGCAAAGCACTGAACAATGGACAACATGCTTCATGCATTTCAATTATTGCCCCAATGCAACTCACAAGAGTCTGGTGGATGGCCTCAGATGCTGCAGCAGCCGTCCTCTGGCTCTCCTTAGCATCTTCAATCTTCTCAGTAATTTCTGGCAGTAACTGTTTCAATTCCTCAAGCTCACTCTTCTCTTCCTTTGCTTCCTCTGCACCTTCCGCCTTGTCTATTACCTCCTGAATCATAGCTGGAGGAAGAGTGGTGTGGAAATCAATTGAGAGTACCATGCTTGCTCATGGCAACTAGTGTTATCAGCAAGCAAATCCTCAGTTAAAAACACATGAGGACTGGCAAAAGACCACTGTGAAAATGTTCCTACCAAGACGGCTCTCGATGACTTTGATGGAGTTGGAGAAGTGCTCAATGGCTTGGCTGTACTGGGCTGTGTAGCTGTAAGTTGTGCCCAACTGGTAATGAGTCTCAGCCAGAAGACGACTATGAGAGGGAAGGTGTTTCAGCTGCAAGGTTAAACACTCATTGAAGTCCTCCAGAGCCTGGCTGTAGTTACCTACATAACAAAACGGAGAGACTATTTAATTAAGAGTGAAGAATGACTAATGAAGAATAACTTCAATTTTACAGCAGCTTGTGAAACCCAAAAAGGTCCTTAAAATGAAGTCATATTTTCATCTACTCACACCACATACACACCTGATTCAGCTCCAACTTCTCCAAGTTTCAGGTAAATCTGTGCCGCCATTAGCTGATCTTCTTTGCAGTCTTTTCTACAAACCGAATAAAAAGACAATGTGTTTTTCTAAATGAAGCTCGAGTAAATGCATAGTTAAAATAACTTTAAAAAAAGATATGCAATATGGGCATACCTTCTATAAATCACCTTTGCAACCTCAAGCATCTCCCAGGCCAACTGCAGGTTTCCAACTTCATCCTCCTCACTGTCCTAAAAACACATGGACACAATGATAAACCAGTAATTAAATGAAGAGGGGGACAAAAGACCAAAAAAAAAAAAAAAGGTTTACAATGGATTACAAACCTTATCCTTTGTTTCACCCTCTGCATCCTCCTCCTCATCATCATCATCATCATCCTCATCTAAAACATCAAAGATGTTAACTCACCGACACTGATCTAATGTAAAAACCCATCACCTTAGACACCCTCATTGACACTGCAGCTTAAAAGCCAAATACTCTATGGATCAAACAGTGTTTAAAAGATTCACCAGGTGAAATTTAGCAAAGGTATTTTATACTCAATTTCGTGCTCCCCAGACTCCATCATGCTTCACTACCTCCATCTTCCATGGGTTCTTCATTCTCTTCATTTCCATTTTTCTCCTCATCACCCTTTTCAGTAACTCCATTTGACACAGTGACATCTTCCTTTTTAGAAGCGCTTTCATCCACAGCTTTTGACTTCTCAACTTTTTCGGCAGGTTCCTCATTTTCAGCTTGTTTCTCCTCATCTTGAGCAGGTTTTGCCTCATGTTCAGATAGTTTCTCATTTTCAGCAGGTTTTGCCTCATGTTCAGCTGGTTTCTTAGTTTTAGGTGATGCTGCATCCCCTTCCTTTGACTCTTTAACCGTCTCCTGCTTCTCCTTAACTTCTTGGTTCTTCTGCTCACCTTCCCCCACCTCTTTTTCAACCTCTGACTGAGTTTTGTCCTCTGACATGGCATCATAAACCTGTGCTCGAAGCTCATCTCTGGTTTTCTCTGCATCATAGTACAAATGGAGGGACATTTCTAGGTTACAGCTGGAGTCCCTCTTAATCGGAATCAAGTTTAAAAGTTATGCCGTGTCAACATGTGCTGGTTTTTGTGCAGAACAGACAACTGTCAATTTGGTGGTTCTTTGGAAGCATCCTTTTTGCAGATGTCAAGCCTTGAGCATGCATGAAAAATACACATTTTAACTGGCAAACTAAAATGTAAAATACAAACCATCCAAGTTGTCTGCGCTTTCAATTTTAGAGTCATTCGGTTTCTCGCCTTCTTCAGACGATTCTTCTGGGACTCCCTCTAAAGCATTACCAAGCACTGTATTCTCCATCCTAGAGAAATTAAAAACACCCAAGTTAGAAAAACTGATAACCTTTTCTTTTTATAAATGTAATGCATTAAATCTTAATCCATATACCTACCTAGCAAGCTCCAGAAGGGCTTTCCCACACAAGAAAAAAGCTTCACCACATTCATCAGCAGTGTCTCCATACTTTTCAGCTCTTAAGGGGGAAAATGGGTTACACATTAAAGTAAAAATAGAGCATAATATAAAAAATAAAAAAAAATTTAAAAAAAAGTTTACTTATTCAAACAATGGCAGGTACCACAAATTTCCTTTAAATACATATTACAATATTCCTTCACTACTCACAGCATGGCACAAGCCTCCTGGAACACACTCACTGCAGACACAACATCACCCATCACTAAGTGCCGGTTGCCTGTGCCAACCAGCTTCTTTGCTTCCTCAGAAACATCGACGGAGCTGCAACATTTAATGAAGATGCGAGTAAAATGAAGCTCAATACTAATTTTATCGAACTAAGCAGTTTTAATAAACCGAAACACGGATACCAACTTACCTGTCTGCAGCGCTTGACGAGCAAGGCTTCTCCTCCATACTGCAAAGATAAACAATACAAAAATATAGTCATACATTATTTAAAAGCCTCGAGTCGTCTGAAGAATACGTCCAATGCGAGTCAATTTTCACTAAAGTTCGTTTCAGAAGTTCACGTGCCAAGGACCAAAGTTAGCGCAATGCTACTATGACTGTTATTTCCTGACAGAGACTGTCAGCAACATCTACACGCAGATATGATAAACATCTAATGTCACAGTTTAATGTCAATATAATACCCAAAGTGGGCAATTTAAAGTGCTATTTGTGTTGTTACCGCCACCTTTCAAACTTAACGCTCGACTTCGGCGCGCGTGCAGCCATTTCAATGCAGCTCCAAGCGCACTGACGGGCCATTCGTGACTACGCGTCAACAGAGCGGGGCTTTCCTCATTTAGGATATATAAACAAGCAGGCCGTTCATATTAAACTATCTCCCGCCAAATGAAAGCAGCCACACAACACATCAGCGGGAATCAACGGTGACGCCATCCCGTCGCGTGCGACTCGATGTCCGGGCGCGGGAGAAAAGCAAACATTTTTCCTGACGGAGGACGGAGCTGCTTTGTTATCAAACGAAACCAGCCAAAACGTCTCACTCTGACTTCCTTTAACTTTTCTGCTTACTTCCCAGGCTCGGGAGCGCACTTATTAAAAATTGTATTTTACCTTTCGGCAGTTGAAGCAGCTGCTGTTTCCTCTGGCATGTTAATGCGTTAAATAAACTAAGCTGTAATGTACTGTTGGATGATGTGCGTGCAGATAGCAGCTTTGTGAAGCTGCTCCTGAATTAGTCTTTGTTGGCGCCTTTAAATACGGATACAAGCCGTACTTCCGCTGAACTACGACCCTGTCACAAAAACGCGGGAGAATCAATTTAAAGGGCAAGCAACCGTATTAAAAGATCTTTTATTTTTTTCCCCCTTTATTCAGTTCCATCACACAAAAGCACAATACAAACAGGGAAACGGTGCACATCTCAAAGCATGCAAAACAGAACAACAGCAACAACAAAAACGCAAAATTAATACAAACATATATATATAGCGCGCATCCATGTTGCGCTTGCAGAGGGATCACGTAATTTACCCGGAAACAACAACATTCTCATTTCTGATTGGCTGGTCGGTGTCATTTAACTCTGTATAACTCGAGACAGCTGTGAACTCGGCAGAGAACGTCCCTCCGTGTTCATCCATTAATTATAGCAGGACAAGTCATCCCTGATTTCTCTATTTCTCAGCGTGAGAAGTACAATGTGTGCCGTGAGAGCGCGTGAAATGCGTGTTAAATGTGCGTATAAAATTAAGACTTTATTCACTTTCTTATTTAAAACATGTTCCAGGTGTTTTTGTGAATAAAATATAATAAATTATATTATATAATAAAACTACTACTAATAATAATTATTATTATAATAAATTATATTAATATATAACAACTTTCCTTATCAGATTACTTTACCAAGAGGAAGGGCAGTGGAAATAGTTGAAATATTATATATATATATATATATATAATTAGAATCTGATTAATTTACATAAAAATAATGTCAAAATAACTTAAGGGTCTTAAAAATATGCTTTATTTCCAAAATTTTAATTTGTTCTTTTAAAAGTGATAATCCAGATGAATTCTTGACCAGTTTCATAATATTCACCCTTAAACATTGTGAATACATTTAAAATCAGCCCTTGTTCATTAAGTTTCATTCCACACATGACAAAAAATGAGCACACATTTCAATATGTAACAAAAATTGTTTTTATTGTGTTTAGAAGTATACAGAGTAGTGAATGGACACATGGTTCCAAGGCACAGAATCACGTAGAAGTGTGTATTAATAGGGGTCATTAAAAGGGTAGTGAGGATGTCCTGCATCTCGGGGGACAGACTTACCATCAACCTAGAAAAATAGATGCAAAAACGTAACCTCTTTGTTAATGGCCACGTAAACTTTAGTGCTATGTTGTATGATGTGGCTTACAGTAATGTAACTTACAGTAATGGTTGGCACAATATAACGCCAGCCTCTGTGCAATGCTGTCACTTGATTCATTTCCTCAGGTTCAAGAGTGAAATCAAAGACCTGTAAATGAGCAGAGTAAATGCATCGCATTGTTACAATACATGGTCATAAACACTCTAGAACATGAAAGAATAAAGAAAAACATGCAGATACCTGGATATTCTCTTTGATCCGAGACTGTGTAATGCTCTTTGGGATAGTCACTACTCCTCGTTGAGTTTGCCACCTGCCAAAACATCAATGAAGAAATACTATGTAATAATCAGTGAAGAAATACCATACACAACTCGTGCAGAAGCATGAATTTACCTGATGATAATTTGTGCAGGAGTCTTGTTGTATTTCTTGGCTAGTGCAGCCATGGCTGGTTCCTCCAACAGCACAGGCTCTTCTGGATGCTTCCAGGCTCGGTCAGGAGATCCTAGCGGACTGTAGGCAGTCATCACCAAACCTCGATCCCGGCAGTGAGCCAACAGTTCAACTTGTGCAAGGTATGGATGGGACTCCACCTGCAAAACACTATTGTTACTCAACAAACTGATATAATAAACCATATAAATTAGGACATCACATTTTCTTCTGACCTGCAAAACAGTTGGTTTGATGCTTGCAACTGATAAGATGTCATCGATCTGCCTGCTATTGAAGTTTGAGAGCCCAATGGCCCTGACAAGGCCCTTTCCCACAAGTTTTTCCATAGCAGCCCATGTCAGCTTGTAGTCCATGTTGTCATACAGCAAGGTTCCATCCTCCTTCCTAGGAAAAGAGGTATCACCTCGTCTGGATAAAAATAACAAGATAAAACACTTGACTGAGAAAAGGCAGAGCACATTAAAGGGTTAGTCCACCCAAAAATGAACATTCTGTCATATTTACTCACCCTCATGTCATTCCAGCCAGTATGACTTTTTTTCTTTGGTGAAAGATGTTTTGAAAAATGTTAGTACCAAACAGTTTCGGTTGCCATTGACTTCCATCATGTTTTTGACCATACAATGTAAGTCAATGGGAGCTAAAACTGTTTGGTACCAACATTCCATACAATTCTTCAAATGATGACAGCATTTTTTATTTTTGGGTGAACTATTCCTACTAATGAGCACTTCACACTTCATTCCCCAAAGGAGATCGAGAAAATGTCACGTTTATATTGGCAATAAACAAGACACCCAGAATAAGACTATTCTAACAATAGACTATTATAGAATCTTGCACCCTTTAATCTCTTTTAAAAACAGTCATAATTTCGAAAAAAAAAAAAAATCTTTAGATTTTAGATCTTACATTAGTTCTGAGAAGAGTAACCAATTCAAAGTCATTCATACACAGTACTCTCTTTCTCTCTGTGTATATAAAGTAAAAAAGTGATTTGATGTGTAGCCAAGTATGGTGTCCCATACTCAGAATTTGTGTTCTGCATTTCATCCATTCAAGTGCGCACACACAGCAGTGAGTAGTGAACACACACCCGGAGCAGTGGGCAGCCAATTTTGCTGCGGTGCCTGGGGAGCAACTGGGGGGTTCGGTGCCTTGCTCAAGGGCACCTCAGTTGTGGATAATGAGGGTGGAAGAGAGTGCTGGTCATTCACTCCCCCCACCTACATTTCCTGCTGGTACTGAGGCTTGAACCTGCGACTCTCTAACCATTAGGCCCCTATATATATATTCTCATTACAAGAAGAACTGGAGGCTTACTGGAAGGCATATGGCCAATGGATGAGGTAGAGGTCCAGGTACTCCAGCTTTAGGTCTTTTAAGGTCTTTAACAGAGATGGTTCCACGTCATCTGGGTGGTGTTTTGTGTTCCACAGTTTGGAGGTCACAAATACATCCTCTCGCCTTATGCCCTGAAAGAAGACAACAGTTGTAAAGCACACATCCTTTATATTTAAGTTTATGGGTATGCATTTCATATTTGTAATCCACTTGGTTGACCTACTTTTTCAGGTCCCATTATTTCCTGAAATGCTTCACCGATCTCTGGCTCATTCCCGTAAATGGGAGCACAGTCAATGTGCCGATAGCCAGACTGCAATGCCCAAATAACTGCCTGTTTTACCTGCAATTGACAACATATTTATATAAAATGCTTTCTTTTTTTTTTTTTTTTGAGTTCTAAACACAAACACAATATTTAAATCCAAAGATTATTGCAGAACATAATGGATACTATACTGAAGAACTGCATATCCTAGTAAATCTCCTCTCATTCTCAATACATCATATTCAGATTCAAATTCTGTCATAATTACAGTTGGGATAATGCACAGAAAACTTACTTGTCCTGCTTCACTCTTCCATGTCCCAAGTCCCACAAGGGGCATCTTCCGTCCAGTGCTGAGCACAGCAAAGTCATTCATACTCATCCTGTGTGCCTTCAGAGAAAAAAAAAAACAATATGAACAGTGTTCATACATGGAATAGACTTCCAAATCTATGATTTAATCCCTGTACTAGTAAATCAATCTAAACCCTAGACACTCACAGAAAGGTGAATGCAAAATGTTCAGTGTTCAAATTCATTCAGCAGAATGAAAGGAAGTGTAACCTGCTGACTTATCAGCTGACTTCCACCGAAGCTCTAGCAGGATGTAAATATTGTAACACCCTGCACTGCATTTTTGGGGACAGCATAACTTTTGGGTCAGCAAACTTTATAAAATTAATAATGAAAATTTGTTTCAAACAAACAGTCTTTGTATTTTAATATAAATAATCACATCAATTCAACCTCCATGCATTACTGGCACACTCCCAGTCATTATTCTAAATCAGTTTGCGCTAAAATTGTCTAGTTAGTGCTGGGAATCACACAGACAGTTGAATAACGTACCATTCGACAGTAAAACTTGAGAATGAACGACAAGACGCAGAGCAAGTTGAATATGCTGCAGTTCTCCCTTTAAAATCAGTTCAACTAGTGTCCCATGTGGCGCATCACAACAAGGAATGTTTTTCCTAGGTCAGGGATAGTTTTATATTATTTGTTCAGATACTTACGGTGTATGAGTAGGTCAAGGAATTTCTTCACTATATAACTATCCAGGTTGATTAAAAATTATTTCTCATAACGCTGACGTATTTACTTCCTGTTCGCTGTCCTCTAAAAACATCCGTCAAAATAAAAGTCTCTATAACGTTACAACAAATTCCTCACCGTCACTCTTTTCTAGTTCAAGTGACAGGGATAAAAATTAAAATGAAGACTTAATCTTAGCTATTTGCCAAATTAAAAAAACCCAAACCCCATGTCATTTTAGTCAGATCATATGAAAATAATATTATGATCAATCTGAAACTCCTTCAAACGTTCCATAACCTATAAAATACACCACCCTTTGTACACTTCTACGTCTTTTCTTTTTTAAATTTAAAAATAAAAGGGAAAGTTAGGGATTCTTTATGGTTTGCTTATTACCCTACTTTATATTTAAAATAAATATTTTATTTCTCTCATGAAATTAAGAGCAGTTTTGCAAACTTTATACCAGAGCACTAAACTAGTATAGGAGTGATTATGTCCAGTCTTCTCATGGCTTTAGCTGTTCAACTTCAATTCTGACATAAATTCGAATGAACCTGTACAGAATTCCCCAAAATTAGAGACACCATCATACACCAAAATAACAGCAAATGATTTTTTTTTTCAATCATTGTCTTACAATACATCAATTGTTTAATTTACACAGTACAGTTAATTCAGGATGAAAAAAAAATCAGCAATTTCTGGTTGTAAATTTCAATTAAAAGTATAAAACAGCATCAAAAACCTATGAGGACAAAATTTAGCTTGGGCAATTTACACAGAATATGATCAAGGTTTTTACAACAGAAATTGCTCTGTTTCTCCATATATTACAGAGCACAAAAATATCTATTAAAAAAAAAAATCCCCACAGAAAACAGATCACTCGTTTCCTCTTCGACTTCTCTTGTGACTCTTCTTTGACCGACTAGAACACAGAGACAAATGCAGCATGAAACAAGAGGGGAAAAACAAAGAAAATCATTTAAATTCATTTGATATATGTGAGCATTACCTTTCTGGGGACTTGGAGTGACTGCGATGGCGGTGACTTCTGTGGTGACCTGGAAGTAAATATACCAATATTTCTTAAATTATCAGTTTTTCCATTTACTCTAATTATTTTAAACAACATATTGTGGTGACTGTTTTTCTTTGTATACTTGAAAAGAGCCTCGCTGTACCTGGAGATTTGGAGCGATGCCTTCTGTCCCTGGATCTGCTGCGGTGCCTACGGGGACTTTTGCTGCGGTGACGGTCCCGATCTCGATCACGTCTGGGTGATGGACTGAATGAAAAGAGTAATCAGACGAATGTATTACACTGTATAATCTCCTAAAATAACATGCCCCACTAATAATATATCTAAAACTAAAATAATTTCATTATATACCTTCGTTTTTTAGGTGTTCTGCTCCGCCTAAAATGAAAAAAAGAAAAAAAAAAACAGAATCAGAAGAATAATTATTAATCTATTAAGCCAGCAACCTGTAATAATATGATCTGAATGATGATTAGCACCATCACTGACCTTCTGGGTGAGCGGCTGCGTCTGTAGCGTGGAGAAGGAGACCTGCGTGGCCGGTCCATATCTCTATAACTTCTTCTGTGTGGCTCTGGTGTCTGCACTCTCTCTGGCTGCAGTACATATGGAGAGGTTGTGTAACAGTTACATTCAATATATATATAATTATTAATTATAATAATAATTTGTGCTGGGATAGATTGTCAGACATTGTGAGTTCAATTTTACCTTCTCTTCTTCCTCATCCTCCTCCTCACTGGTCTCCACCTCATCTAGATCTTCTTCCAGAGCACTAATACGAGTATCCAGCAGCTCAGCTTCCTCCAAAACCTGTCTCTTCTGTGAAAAACAAAACACCCAAATGAACATGTGGACATTATTTTTTTGACAATTGACTCAATACATTTCCTTTAAAATTCACATTACTTTAAAGGACAACACAAATGCACTCCATTTATGTAAATACATAAATATATATATACATACACACTACATGTAACAAGTCCAACCAACCTGAAGTCTAGGGAGGATGACGTCACACACTCGCTCTGCATTAAGCAGCTCATCTATAAACTCATCAACGTGCATCAATTCAAACTCTGTGTAAAGAAGAAACATTATTTGCAAATGTCTTTTTCAGCAAGGATAAATTACGTCATGCCACATACCCACTTAAATATTCAAGAAAAATGCTCACCCCCATTTCTGTTCTGGCTTTTGATTTTTCTGTAGTCATTGTATAATGGCTCTAAATACTTGTAGCAATCCACAGAAGTTCCAGTCAGGCGCATATACATCGCTCCAAGCAAACGGACATACCTGGAGGGGGAAAAACAGATCAGTAATGCAAAACCCCAAAACCTTCATGCACAGTGTAAACAGGAAAATGACAAACTGCATACAGCTAGAGCAGTAATTGAACACTAACTTGAAGTCTTCATTCTTGATGAATTCCACAATAATGTCCTTTTCAGGCTGGATCTGCAGCATCTTTAGGGTCAGACATAAGAATGGAGTTGGCTTGATGTTTCCTCCATATACCCCACCAACATACTTCAGCTCCATTGCTTTGTCCACGACAAGCTCAGCTAGATTTTACAGAGGGGACAATAATAGTGACAGTTAAAATGATGTTTGGCACATTAATTCCACAATTCCATATACGTACGTAGAAATTTAAGGTAAATGTGTTATAACAGACCTTAACTCTGTCAAGCTTACCGCATCATACTTTATACATGACTTTCTAAGGCCTCCAAAATTTTCAACATGCTGAAAAACCTGTTGTACACAATTTTCTACACGTCTTCTACCATCTGATTGATAGCACATACTTTATAGAGCATTTTTATTATCATTCTAAAAATGTTCACCTTCAGGTCATGCTTTTTGCTGTGAAATCTTTAATGATTTTCATAAAGTAAATGTGGTAATAACTTTAATATGAACATTTACTGGACTGAAACAACTTTGATATATATATATATATATATATATGTGTGTGTGTGTGTGTGTGTGTGTGTGTGTGTGTGTGTGTGTGTGTGTCGGTCTATTATTTCATATGCCAGGCTTTACAGGGTTAATCATAGATTAAAAGATAGGGTAATCACTTCTACGACTATATGAATACACCATTCTCAAGTCACATTACTAATGCTGCCCACGGTAAACAGGTCAGCTTTAAAATATAATGAAATAAGATGAGGTAGCCAGTAAGTAGACTTACTTCGAGGTAATTTGGTGAGTAAGGCAAATAACTGTTGTTTTTAACGCCACATTAACAAATACCGTATGTAGTCCAGCACACTTCTCTCACCTGTAAGTCCAAAACATTCCTCTTTCCAGTACTTGGACTCATAAATACGTGTCCGTATAATCTTCTCGACAAGATACTGAGGATTTGTTCCATGTATACTATTGGCATCTTTTACCGTTCTATTAGCCATGGCTCAAAATTGTTAATGAACGAACGGAAAATGTGAACGCTAATATGCCATTGAGAAATATCGAAGAATGACTTCCGGGGAAAAGCGTGCGTCACATCCGTAAGGTCAAGCTGTATTTTGCTGTCCAATCAAAAGCTCTTCTTACGTCATCTGCGCGCGAAAGAGACGTGTGTTTTGTATGATTGTGCTCTCTGTCTACTGTGGTGTAAGATGCGTTCAACTTCATATATACGCTGATTTAAATTTCTGTGTGTCTAAGTTTGGCGGAGACGGAATATTGTTGCTTATTCATTTGTTTGATAAGGAGATTTGAAACCGTTTCAGAAATTACCGGCTGGTGAGTAAAGAGAGGTGCTGGGGATTTGAAGTTTACTTTACCTAAAGACTAAAGTTACCTTACATAAAGAAGACTGGTTATTTTAACAGTTTGGAATTTATATAATATAATAAATAATAATAATAAACGAAATAATAATAATTAAAAGTTACCTTAGTTTTAGTCCTGGCCACAGTTTAAACCAGCTGCGAATTTGATTAGTTAGCCAAAACCCAGTACACGATTGGGGTAATGTTATTTACTTAATATCAGGTATTTAAAGGTAAATATATCACTTTTAATTATTGCATTTAAAATAATAATAATAAAAGTTGCAAACATTTTTATATTTGTTTACTATTATAACAGACTGTGTGTGTGTGTGTGTATATACACATACACAAGATAATTTTTCTGTAACTTTTTTCCTGGTTGCCATTGTTACTGGTTTGACTATTAGGTACATAATATTAAATACATAATCGATGCTGTGCTTTACAGACCTTGTATCAGACCTGCGCCATGAGCCGCTACATCACAAGACTGAGAATGAGAAGAGCCTACAAATGGAATGGGAGACCAGTCAGTAAAGACAGGAAGCTGAAAAGGCAATACTACGAGTAAGTGCACTTACCACATTATGATGAATACTAAGTGATTTGAACAAATGTACTGTACATTGTAACTTGATTTTGAGGCCTTGTGAGTGAGAGCAATCGCTATAAAATGTGTTTTAAATCATTTTCCAGTAGTCATGGAAATTAATTGGTCAAAAGATGTTTTAACCCTGAATGTAAGAGCATTAATGCTTTGATTGATCCTCACACAGATCCATGTCCATTTCTGTGGAGGGAAAGACAGAAGATGTAACTGTGTCTTTAGGCCAGTACATTTTGATTGAAGGTGATGATGATGACAATCCCTTTGTGGCACAACTTCTCAAACTGTACACTGATGGTAGGAATATGCCCTCTTTTTATGCAAAACATGTATATTTGCATGCAATCTGAGTCAAACACTAATCCGTTTTGGTTTATCTAACTTTTGTACCCAGATTCAGGAAAGAAGAAGACTGCAGTAGTGCAGTGGTTTGTGCGGATGTGTGAAGTACCTCAGAACAAACGCAAGCTCTTGGGCAGAGATCCCCATCCACAAGAGATATTTTTCTACCAGGACCGCTCTTGTGATAATGAGGTGGATGGAGAGACCATTCTCGGAGCAGTACAGGTAGGCATTGTATGGTTGTAGGATTTAAATTATGGAGGGATTGCTCATATTTGTACACTGTGAATGTGCATCACACTACAATCAAGAAATGCTTATGTAGTTGTTTCACATGATTGATTCTATTTTTTAAATGTAAAACAATTATTTCATTCTTTTACATTTAAAAGTATTGCTAAAGTATGTATTATTATTATTATTATTATTATGCCTTTTTTATTGTATATTATTTAAAGTAGTATTTATATAATTAATAAAAAAATTATTTGTATTATTATTATTATTATTCTAATTTCCATTATATCCAATAATAATTTATACCTTTGATTCTAGATTGAGTATGTCCCAGTTGAGGATCCTTTTCCAAAGGGCAAGAGCAAAGGTATACTATTTGTCAAACTCTTGTGGGATACCAAATCCTTCAGAGCATTGAATCCTGAGCTTATGCAGCCCCCTCAGAGCTCTAAATCTCCCCCACCATCTTCACATGGAACTCAGACTCGTGCTCTTCCAACCCCAGACCTCTCGGTAATGAAACGGGCCATGTCAGGCATTCTCACCCGCGGCAGCATGAGCACCGGCAAAATGAGCTCCAGTGAGGCGGAGTCTCTCCACTCTGCCTCCAAACTTTCTGCAGCTAAAGCTCTTAGTGCTAAGAGGAGAAGCCGAGCCGTCTCTGGGCCACATGTTCGCAAGAAGCTGGACTTGTGCAGTGAGTGCCATGCATCCACACACATTTTGCTTTTAAAGGAATAGTTCACCTAAAAATGAAGATTTGCAGAATTTACTACATTCATGATGTAGATGAGTTTGTTTCTTCATCAGAACAGATTTGGAGAAATCACTTGCTCACATTACATCACTTGCTCACCAATGGATCCTCTGCAGTGAATGGGTGCCGTCAGATTGAAAGTTCAAATGCCTGATAAAAACATCAAAACAATCTACAAGTAATTCACACAACTCTAATGTATTGTGAATCGAAAAGCCATGTGTTTGTAATAAACGAATCCACCATTAAAGCATTTTAACTTAAAGCCATCGATTCTGACCAGAATAACATTCCATAATCTATAATAATTAAAAGTCCATCAACTGTTGTCCTCTCACATCAAAATCGACCAACATATTTGTTAAGAATGAATTTTTCTCTCCTGGAGAAAGCAATGTTGTGGATAGAGGACTCGTATTTTAGCCAGAAGCAGCGGTTTGAAGTGAAAAGGTATTAATGATGGATATGTTTATTACAAACTTTGAAGCTTGAAGCTTTTTGCTTCACAAGACGTTAATTAATAGACTAGATTCGTGTTGATTATTTGTTGAGCAAGCAATTTTGTATGAACTAAAGAGCAACTGTTCTTTTTGGGCATCTATTCCTTTAATGGTTTCAAAAGAAACTAAACTGAACACCAGTGTTTCTCTTACATTATGGCAGGTCCAAGTAAAAACATGACCCGAGATGATGTTCTGGGAGAGATTCTTGATGAACACACAGAGAAAACGCTGACGTCTAAATTGAACACGTCTCCAACGGGTCGCATCTCCATTTCTATTAGATTGACTCGACTTAATCTTAATGAGGAGGAGTGTGTCTCCCCTCTGTCCTCACACAGCCCTGATAAACCCAGACTGACTGCATATGACAAAGACGATGCAACCAGGTACATCTATTTACATTGGAAATTATATCTTGGTTCTTTGTTTTGTAGGCTTAGTACTTCTAATTAGTACTGTGCTGCTGATAGTTTTAGTTAGAAATAAGCAAACCTATTTTGTTCTTCATACGTGGAAGACTGGTTTAATATCCTATATCTATATAAAACTGAAAAAGTAGAGTCTAGTTATAAAAGTCCTGCTGCCCTCCTAGTGTCTTTCTTGGGGTGCAGCCTATTGGGGATGATGATCCAGAGCCACTAATTAGCACAGGCAGAACTCCCCGGAAGAGAGAGGCAACCCCTAGGAGTGCAGGTCTAAGAGGCCTGAAGTGAGTCATGTTCCTCTATTGCTCCACAGAGGGGATACAGATTCATTTTTTATTCTGGATGGGCTTTGGTAGTCTTTATTAAACACAAAGGCATTATGTGGCTATTTTCTTTTTTCACACTTTATGCACTGGTTAAGCACACGACTAATTTTATCTAGACCAGTGCACTGTTGGCCCCTACTTCACTTTCCTTATGCATTGATATGTTTAATTTGAGGATGAAATGACCCATAGAGTAACCTAAATGTGTGTTTTCAAACCAGGGCAAGAACTCCATCCAGGAGGAAAGATGCACTCCGAGAACCAGCACTGGCTGCTTTGTAAGTGTTGCAATTGTCTATTGTGATATTGCAATCAAAAACATTGTGAAATTAACTTGAGCAGCAGTACCTTTGTGTACAGGTTTTAGAAATTGAAAAACATTTTAAACAGTTTATATACATATATTATTATATTATATATATATAATGTTGTCCTCATTTGTAAGTCGCTTTGGATAAAAGCGTCTGCTAAATGTGTAAATGTAAATATAGAATATGCATAAATGTTTATTACATTATTACATTTTACAAACACTTTTATCCAAAGCGCTATAAATCGTCACAGAGCCAATAATATTCATAGTGTACAATGTTTATTAGAAAGCTATAAGTCTGCACTCTGTCTGTTAACTTATAATAGTGAAGTACATGCATAGCTGCCTTGAGTTTCTACAGAAGACCCTGTAAGTGTTTGAGGCCCAGCCTGCCACTACAGAGTCTACAGAAAGGACCCCTTGACAGCCATTGGCTAAGGACAGTCATGTGTGTGGGGTGGAGAGTCGCTCTGTCAATAACTCTGGATAGCTTCCATTGTCCTCATTTGTAAGTCGCTTTGGATAAAAGCGTCTGCTAAATGTGTAAATGTAAATATATAATATATATATAGTTTTTTTTTTTTTTCATCACAAAATTAGTGTTACTTCCCCCCTGTTGATTACTGTTTACTTTGCCTTAGACCATTTTTGACCAGCGGGTGGCATCATATAACAGTTAAGATTGTGTTATCATACAGTAATTTAATGGCACTCATCCATGACCAGTTCTTGAGGCAAGCAGACAAATTTCTCAACAGCCACATTGAAAAATTCTTTCTGAATGCGCACTTGATTTCTTGATGTTTTCTTTTTTATTATATCTGTTACATTGTAAGGTGCATTTAAACTTGATTGGTTAGTGGCATGTAATTATAACTTGCAATGATATTAAAATCTATTACATGTGACATGTTTGGAGAAAAACTGAGACTATTAGTTGCATCACTAATAATTGAAAAAAAACCTTTTGTTTTATTAATTCAATTCAGCAGGCATGCACATGTTCTTGGGAAAACATGACTTTTGCCTTGTAACCTGTAGTAAATAAGAGGCATGTACTGTGCAGTGTGTAAAACGTTGACCTGCTTTGGCATTTAAGTTCCTAGGGCACCATTTGAGCAGTTTGACCTTGTTTTCTAATCTATAAATTCAGTTATCCAGACCAAGTAGAATTTTTTGCATTTTATGGTGAGAGAGTATTAGATTGTTGTAAAACCAGATATTCATGCATGTATACATACTACTTGTCAGTGTTATTTTTTCTCTTTTCTTCATATTCCTGTTAACAAACTGATAGAGCTGAAGAGGAGCATGAATATTCACCGGTCCAGACTGCTGCCACTCCTTGCTCTAAGAGGAAATCTGCCCAACTTGAGTCCTCACGCATCAGAAAGCAGCTGTAGGTCCCACTAAGGCTGTGAATCAATTAAAAGAAATATAAGAAATGTGTATGTATGTATGTATGTATGTGTGTGTGTGTATATATATATATATGTATATATATATGTGGTTTTATATGCAGGATGCTTGCATTCTACATGTAGCTGCATGGTCTTTAACTGGATGTTGTTTTGCACTTGATTAATCTACTTTTAATTAAATGATCCATGTTATCGTCTGTTTTTAAAGAAATTTATTAGGCAACACGGTTGACCTGCAGTCAGATGGTGAGGATGGTGATGATGATGACTGCTTCGTACCTGCTAAAATTGACCTTCAAAGTAGCAGCGATGAGGAAGAGGAGGCAAAGATCGACAGCGAAGATGAGCTTATAGTAAAGAAGCGCAGAGGATCCGGAACATCCCGGTCTACTGAGAAAACCAGAGTCTCTGCTAGGACCCCACGTAAAACCCCCAGCAAAAAGGTTCAAATAAGTTGATTTTTGCTGTGCTTAGTCTTTCTGCTAGCAGTTGATGTGTCTTCACAAAACCAAAGCTGCTTTTCACATCAAGATAACACTGGATGTGGCAATTAGTTCAGCTTTTACTGCATTTAACTCCAGACAGCTCCAGCCACCCCACGTACACCACGTCATGCCACTCCCAGCATACCCAGCAGGAGTGCGCCAGCCAAGAAGCCAGGGAATGTTCTGGAAGAAGCACGGGCACGGTAAGCAACTCCACAGACAACAGTCCTACAAGGCTGTCTGTTTAACCAGCAAAACTATATAGTTACACTACCGTTCAAAGGTTTCGTGTCAAAAGTTACAAGAGACAACTGTGCTTCTAGTAGACGAGGTGAGACATTTGTTACTGGTGACACTTATATCGCCACCCATGTTGCATGTTTTTTAGCTAATCATTTATTGTGATTAGGTGATTCCAATTGGTCTAGATTAGTGGTTCTCAAACTTTTTGACTTGAAAGGCCCTCAGCCCCTGTTGTCCAACACCACATTCAAATCCCCCCATCCCATATAGGCTATAATATTTTCAGTATTCCTTCTGTAATTTTAAACCTGCTTGTTTTCAATTTTTTTTATAAACAATTAAATTAACCGTGATTCATTTTGTGATTCCAGACGTTTCAAGAACGGTATGTTCTTCAATGAAAACAATAGTTATTCAGGGGGGAAAAGAAATAGGATTTGAGTTTGCATCTTTGTGATTTATCAAAAACTAGTTTGACCTCCTTAAGCTCATATGAACTATATATATATTTTTTTTTCAAAATAGTGCTGGAAAATCTTTTTGTCATTCAGATGTTGGTCTTTACCAATCTTTTTTTAGTTTCTTTTATTCCTGTCCTATTTCCTGTCAAGGATTGGGTAATTTCTACTTATAATATTATATCTGTCCAATCCTCCAGTCTGAAAGATGATCTCTCTCTCTTTCTCTCTCTCTCTCTGTTTTAAAAAAAAAAAATTTTCAGCTTGACCTTTTGTGGACCCGTAAACAGAATGTGATGTATAACTTGTTTGATTGGCCAACAAGGCGCAACGCTCGTCTGGTGGTCCTTACCATTGCAAATACTATGGATTTACCTGAGAGGATCATGATTAACCGTGTTGCTAGTCGACTGGTAAAACCATTTTACAACATTGAGATGCCATTCAATTTTGATTGGCTACTGCAAATAATGGAAATAAAATATGAATGTCATTTATTTATCTTCAGGGACTGACAAGAATGTCCTTCCAGCCATATACATTTAAACAGCTACAACAGATCATCACATCAAGACTGAACAGAGTGAAGGCTTTTGAAGAAGATGCTCTCCAGTTAGTCTCAAGAAAGGTGTGAACGCATGTTATCTTAGGCACAGGTGACTGAGGCATTGTAGGTTACCTCTTGAGCACTCTAGTGGTCTCTGTACTGATCTTGGGCTACGAGGTTGTTTGTTAAATGTACATGTGGTGATCTTATGTCATCATTATTATGAATCGGTAAGAGATTGTGGTCTTCTAGGTGGCAGCGCTTTCAGGTGATGCACGACGTTGCCTTGATATCTGCAGACGGGCCACAGAGATTTGTGAGCACTCTGGAAGTCAGAAGAACAGCAGTGGATTGGTGGGGATGAGTCATGTGATGGAGGCTTTGGATGAGATGTTCTCCTCTTCCTACATTGCAGCTATCAGGTAAAAAGAGTAGAGAAAGAACTAGGAACTATCGCCAGTAGGGCTGCACGATTATGACAAAATTCATAATTGTCGATTATTCCCATGAAATTGTAATTGCGATTATTAATTACGATTTTCACAATTTACATTGAATGATGTTTATACCATTGTTTGATGCAACTGCATGCCGTATTTTTATATGAAAATAAACAAGCTGAAAACACTAACTGAAAAACTTTTAGTGCTTCTCTATAGTATTAAGCCTCAAATGTCAATTATACATCGGATTGGTTTCTTCTTTAAATTATAAAAAAGTAAAAATATGAATGGTATTATAATGTTATACTAAAACTAAAATTAAAATAATGGGAAAAACCCTTAAGATAACGCATCTTAAGCGTGCAGAATAACATAAGTGGACTTTGAACGATTAATTGCCGCTTTGAACGATTACGTAATTGTGGCATCCATAATTGTAATCGCGATTAGAAATTCGATTAATTGTGCAGCCCTAATCGCCAGTTATGTCTATTGTTCCTTAATGTGGTAAAAAAAAAAAAAAATCGCAGAAATGGAATAGTTCGGCTCCAATTAGACTTCTATTCTTTTTAATGTTGTTGTTGTTGTAGATGTGCTTCTGTTCAGGAGCAGCTTTTCCTGAGGGCTGTTATTGCAGAGTTTCGTCGACTGGGTCTGGAAGAGGCCACTTTCCAACAGGTAGCTAAACTGTTGATTAACTCAGTTATTCTAATCATGAACTATATATACTAATTAAAAGTTCAGGAATTGTATAACCTGAAAGAATGAATGTGTTTTTCTTCTCCACAGGTGTTTGTTCAGCACCAGGCTCTGTGTCGTGTTGAGGGTTTGCAGCCGGTGAATGTGTCTGAAGGACTGACCGTCTGTCAAAGGCTGGGTTCTTGTCGCCTGCTTCTCCTTGAGGGAAGCCGCTTGGACCTGTTTCTCCGTATCCGACTCAATGTAAGTCAGGACGATGTGCTTTTTGCTTTGAAGGCTGACTAAAACTCAGACCTACCATGTCACATGCTCCAACTGGCAACCTGTGTGGATCCCCACTGGGTTTGTCCACTTTTTGGAAAAAAAATTTCAAATCTTACCTGTAGCTTCACAGCTAAATTCGTATGAACTGAATGCGAGATATTGTCCATAGTGTGTTCTGAATAAGTTATCAAATTTTAATGCTTAAAATTATATGTGTAGTTCTATAAATACGTTTTAAATGTACATTTTGTGTATTCTAATTAATACCTTTTTACTTCAGATCATCATGTCTTTCAGTTCACTCTTAAACATATTTAGAAGATTTTCACAAAATTGTTTATGTATTTTAGTGTGGGAGAGTAAGACCTACACATTTGTTGTTTATCATTTCATGACTCTGTCAGGGTAAAATGTGCAATTTTCATATAATGCACCAAAATGTTGGATATTTGTCAGATTTTACTTGTGTGATGTCTTGATACAATAAAGCTATTGACTGATCAGACCTGATCATGATACATAAATTGCTTCTTGTGTAATAATCAGATGTTACAGACAACATATTACAAATATAACAAGCATAATAATTGCTGAAGAATGATTATAAGAAATATAGCCAAAATGTATAACATAGTTACGTTTAAGAAATATTCAGGGTTAAATGGCACTTAAGCACTATACAAAATACCAGTCACATCCTAAATTAACAAAAATAAAAAAATATCTTACTGATTTAAAAAAAAAAAAAAAGTATATATCATTTACACATCATGAGACTGCATGTGATAGATTTGTTTACCAACTTTGTCTGTGCAAAGTGCAACAGTTAACTTTACCATATAAACCCGTTAACATTTGCATGATGTCCATTTAAACACCCAGAAAAATCATTTCTACTTCACAACCATGATGTTCATCTATCTATAAAAGTACTCACAACTTTAAAGCTTAAATATCAAATATTTCACTGAAGAATCTAAAAGCTTCTAGAAAGAATACAAACTTCACATTTTTTGAAGCCTCAAATTACCCCACAGACATCCATTAATGCACATATTTGAGTTTGCAAACTGAGAGCAAGTTGATCTTTGACAACATGCCACTGATTGTTGTTTTCTATTTGTAAACTGAAGTCGTATTTAACCCAGAACTTTCCAGAAAATTATGTTTATATGATCCATATTATGCTTTCATATAATCTTCTAAGGGCTTTTGCAAGCCATGTGATCTGACATTTGGCATGTCTAGTTATTGTTGATGTCCTGAATCTTCTGGTTTGTGGTATGATGAAACGTAAGTGCAGTTCCTTCTTACTGATGATTAAGGTTCATGCATTGAACAATCTCCTCTTAACACACTTGACTTCATAGCTACGAAGACTGGCATAAGTACTTTTTATGGTGAACCTTGTCTGTTCCTTAAGGTCTCACAGGCCTCTTCTCTTATTCCACAGAATCTTTGAATTTGTGAGTAAGGTTTCACCCAAAACCTAATATATACATGCTTATGAGCTTGCTTAATAACAAATTATACATCACTCTCCGCTTGCATCATATGCTATTGATGTGATCTCCATATTGGTATACCGGCGACAGGCTGTGTGATACTCTTCAAGATCAGACTTTTCTGCCAGAAGGAGATAGGAATGGTTGAGAATATTAGTGGTGCATTCTGGGAAGGTGGTGGAACAGGTACTGGGGCAACAGTGTAGTTTTTCACTAGCCAGATGAGATAAAGCGGTATCCCCGTACACATAGTCATTCCCCGTAAAGCATGGGATTATATCGTTATTCAAAACGACATAATCTTGAGCCATCTCCAAATCCTCTCTAAAATTCTCTCTATTTTTTACACCAGCTGAGAAGCCACGATCAGGGAGTGTATGACAGGTGGACTTCTTACAGGATTTTACTGAAGTTTCTTTCTCGGGCAGAATCTCCAATACTGATGTAGCAGCGTCATCGTCACATTGCTTGATGTTGAAGGTTGGCTCCTGGATTGAAGACAGTATAATGACGATAATATGAGAAACACCCTAAAAAATCATTTTGTTTACATTCTGAATAAAACAATGGTTTCATTTACAAACTTTTTTTTTATTGCCACAGTAAATTTTTATACTTTTTTAAAAATAAAGTTAAAAACATTGCTACTAATAGGTTAATTATATTTTTATAAGATAAAATTATCAAAGCAGATATTAATTACCCAATGTGATCCACTGATATCGGTCAGGAAGCTTTCTAGCACCTTGTTAAGGTTTGGGACTGATGGCCACAAGGACTTCTTGACCTTCCTAATAGAGTGAAAACAGGACATATTTTACATATCTTTATATTTGTATTCTTTAGATATGTTTTTAGTCATAGTACATGGGTTTAACGCATAGCGTATTGTAGTGTAATTAGGAGAGAATTACATTACCGGAAGTATCTGGAGAAGAAAGTGATCGTTGCAGAAGCAATGATGAGCAGAGCCACTGGTATACAGACAATGAAGATCCACTCTGTGATAATAAAAGAAATGGTTTAAGTTTCAGAGCTTTTAAGCATTGTTCATAATCTAGAGTCAGAAATTTCTACCTTTGCCTAAAGGTAAGAGGGCGGTAAAAGGTTTCGACCAGTCACTCCAGTCTCCACTGTACACCGTTCCATTGGGTTGGGCTCGGACTTGGATAGTGTATTGACTCCCTCTATGTACATCCAGACAAGTGCTGGTCTTGGAACTGGGTGTTGTAAAATCCTACCACAGAATTTAGTTTCAGCATGAGTTACGCGGCTTTTTAACATCTGAATTTGTTGTTTATCATTTCATGACTCTGTCAGGGTAAAATGTGCAATTTTCATATAATGCACCAAAATGTTGGATATTTGTCAGATTTTACTTGTGTGATGTCTTGATACAATAAAGCTATTGACTGATCAGACCTGATCATGATACATAAATTGCTTCTTGTGTAATAATCAGATGTTACAGACAACATATTACAAATATAACAAGCATAATAATTGCTGAAGAATGATTATAAGAAATATAGCCAAAATGTATAACATAGTTACGTTTAAGAAATATTCAGGGTTAAATGGCACTTAAGCACTATACAAAATACCAGTCACATCCTAAATTAACAAAAATAAAAAAATATCTTACTGATTTAAAAAAAAAAAAAAAGTATATATCATTTACACATCATGAGACTGCATGTGATAGATTTGTTTACCAACTTTGTCTGTGCAAAGTGCAACAGTTAACTTTACCATATAAACCCGTTAACATTTGCATGATGTCCATTTAAACACCCAGAAAAATCATTTCTACTTCACAACCATGATGTTCATCTATCTATAAAAGTACTCACAACTTTAAAGCTTAAATATCAAATATTTCACTGAAGAATCTAAAAGCTTCTAGAAAGAATACAAACTTCACATTTTTTGAAGCCTCAAATTACCCCACAGACATCCATTAATGCACATATTTGAGTTTGCAAACTGAGAGCAAGTTGATCTTTGACAACATGCCACTGATTGTTGTTTTCTATTTGTAAACTGAAGTCGTATTTAACCCAGAACTTTCCAGAAAATTATGTTTATATGATCCATATTATGCTTTCATATAATCTTCTCAGGGCTTTTGCAAGCCATGTGATCTGACATTTGGCATGTCTAGTTATTGTTGATGTCCTGAATCTTCTGGTTTGTGGTATGATGAAACGTAAGTGCAGTTCCTTCTTACTGATGATTAAGGTTCATGCATTGAACAATCTCCTCTTAACACACTTGACTTCATAGCTACGAAGACTGGCATAAGTACTTTTTATGGTGAACCTTGTCTGTTCCTTAAGGTCTCACAGGCCTCTTCTCTTATTCCACAGAATCTTTGAATTTGTGAGTAAGGTTTCACCCAAAACCTAATATATACATGCTTATGAGCTTGCTTAATAACAAATTATACATCACTCTCCGCTTGCATCATATGCTATTGATGTGATCTCCATATTGGTATACCGGCGACAGGCTGTGTGATACTCTTCAAGATCAGACTTTTCTGCCAGAAGGAGATAGGAATGGTTGAGAATATTAGTGGTGCATTCTGGGAAGGTGGTGGAACAGGTACTGGGGCAACAGTGTAGTTTTTCACTAGCCAGATGAGATAAAGCAGTATCCCCGTACACATAGTCATTCCCCGTAAAGCATGGGATTATATCGTTATTCAAAACGACATAATCTTGAGCCATCTCCAAATCCTCTCTAAAATTCTCTCTATTTTTTACACCAGCTGAGAAGCCACGATCAGGGAGTGTATGACAGGTGGACTTCTTACAGGATTTTACTGAAGTTTCTTTCTCGGGCAGAATCTCCAATACTGATGTAGCAGCGTCATCGTCACATTGCTTGATGTTGAAGGTTGGCTCCTGGATTGAAGACAGTATAATGACGATAATATGAGAAACACCCTAAAAAATCATTTTGTTTACATTCTGAATAAAACAATGGTTTCATTTACAAACTTTTTTTTTATTGCCACAGTAAATTTTTATACTTTTTTAAAAATAAAGTTAAAAACATTGCTACTAATAGGTTAATTATATTTTTATAAGATAAAATTATCAAAGCAGATATTAATTACCCAATGTGATCCACTGATATCGGTCAGGAAGCTTTCTAGCACCTTGTTAAGGTTTGGGACTGATGGCCACAAGGACTTCTTGACCTTCCTAATAGAGTGAAAACAGGACATATTTTACATATCTTTATATTTGTATTCTTTAGATATGTTTTTAGTCATAGTACATGGGTTTAACGCATAGCGTATTGTAGTGTAATTAGGAGAGAATTACATTACCGGAAGTATCTGGAGAAGAAAGTGATCGTTGCAGAAGCAATGATGAGCAGAGCCACTGGTATACAGACAATGAAGATCCACTCTGTGATAATAAAAGAAATGGTTTAAGTTTCAGAGCTTTTAAGCATTGTTCATAATCTAGAGTCAGAAATTTCTACCTTTGCCTAAAGGTAAGAGGGCGGTAAAAGGTTTCGACCAGTCACTCCAGTCTCCACTGTACACCGTTCCATTGGGTTGGGCTCGGACTTGGATAGTGTATTGACTCCCTCTATGTACATCCAGACAAGTGCTGGTCTTGGAACTGGGTGTTGTAAAATCCTACCACAGAATTTAGTTTCAGCATGAGTTATGCGGCTTTTTAACATCTGAATTCAACCAGAAAGAAGTCATTAAATAACTGATATGTGTTCAAATGCATCTATCCACTACCAGTGATCATTGAAGCATTTAAAGGCACTGAGTTTCTCATTGCATGTTATTTAAACTCACCTTCCACTCTCTCTCTCCTTGATGCTGATAGCGGATCTGGTACTTTATATACTGCGAGATCTTCAAAAAGGGTGGATACCATGTCAAACAAAGCCGTTCTTCTTCAGGCTGTGCCTCCAGACCTTCTGGAGGCCTTGTCTGGACTGTCAAAAATGGCAAAGAGACCAACCAAAAGGCTTTTGACTGTTGTTGTCAATTATGATATGATGTCACTACTAATTTAAGAGGAATAAGTAACTAAAACTAGCATTTTGAGTGCATTTTTGTAATATTACCCTTACAAAAAGCTCTGTGGTACAGTGCTGGTAGGCCTATTAGAAACCATTGAACTCTGAGGTAGGGGAGACCAGGGATGGTTGCAACATTTTTTGTTTTGTGTCTGCAACTCTGTGGTTTTTTGAGTCATGTGTCTGAAACTGATATAATTTTCTCACATCTATCTGCCACAAGTTATTGAAAAATACAACTTATCCCTACCTGTGTAGATTAATATCAAATACAAAAAAAAGTGCTATTGTTACATAACAAAACAGCAATCAAGATATTGAACAAATATATAAAACAAGCTTTCCCCTACCATCAAATATTCACATTGTACTAAATGGTTACAATATTCAAATGGTATTTACACGGTACTCCAAGGTACTTTGCTCAGTGTATAGGATGTGTTTTAAAAATATTAAATATTTAAGATCAAGAGGATTTGGACAACATATGGTGGCTAACATGGCTTTCTTCTTTTTTTACTTACTGTTGCTGTTCATTTTGAAAGTCTCCGCATAAAACGTTCGACCAAATGGTTGCAATCCAACACTGAGGTAAAACTGATAGACGCTGGACTCTTGCCCATACAGGACACACTGATGGGCAGAGTTGTTGTCTTTGGAACACAACTTCCAACTACCCCACGAACTTCTGAAACACCACACAAGAAGGACTGCAGTTGACAAACCAACAAACTGCTATGCTGGGATTTCTATAAGATGTAACAGAGGACATAAAAAAAACATGACACCTGTTTATTTGTCTGTAGTGGAAGCTGAATCTGCCATCATATAATTCTCCTCTCCATTTGCATAATATTTGATGCAGATTTGGAGTGTGGCACCGCAATATGTCACCTGAGAATTAGTCAGATAGTGAAAGGTGATTAAATGTTATACCTATTATTTTACCAAGGTCAATTTCTCTGTTTGTAATAGTTTGTATGGGATAGTTCACCGAAAATTACCATTTTGTCATAAATTACTCTTAGGTTCCAAATGCCCCCGTATGACTTATGACGCAAAAGGAGATGTTAATCAGAATAACAGCCTAAGTAACCATTCACTTTCATTATATGGGAAAAAGATGCTAAGAAAGAGAAAGATTAATCAGTTCCCAACGTTTTGCCTAACATTTTGTGCCAATGAATGTCTAATTTTCCAACACCAACCAAAACAAGCACTACATTTAAAGGGGTCATATGATGTTATTTTAAAGATCATTATTTTGTGTAAATGATATAGAGAAAGCGAGCAAAGAACACAACAGAGCTTTTTGAAACTCTGAATCAGTTAAACCATTGCGTCGCAAAATGATTCACTGTTTCGAAGCGCTCCAATCGAAATTATTCACTGTTTCAATCGGCTCGCGTATCACGAATCAGAAAAACTATGGGATGGGGGGATGTGTCACCCTTCTGTATCTATGGTGGTTGAGGACCTGTTTCAAGCAAACATGTTTCTATCATACAGATCAGAAAAAAGATGTGATGTGAAACAACAAACTTATGAGAAAACGGTCCTGCATATTTGCACATTCCCATCAAGTGATGTCTTCGTGTATGTCAAGATACACCTCAGAGTGATAGACAGAGATACCAACACAACCATCTACAATCGCACTGTCGGTGTGGAGGATCAGCGTAAGTTCAGAGATGGATATTTTTCTTACAAAAACGCATCGATTCGCTACAGAAGGCCTTTGTTCACCCCCCGGAGCCGTGTGAGACACTTTTTTTAATGGATGGGTGCTTTTTATTTAACTTGCTTTGGACTGAAGCTTGCAACACCCGCTGAGTGCCATGAAACAGCTTGAAAGATCGAAGACAATTTTTAATATAACTCCGACTGGATTCGTCTAAAAGAAGAAAGTCATATACACCTAGGATGACTTGAGGGTAAATAATTTATGGGCTAATTTTCATTTTTGGGTGAACTAACCCTTTAAGTGTCCAAATAAATGTTGGTGTTGCTCACATCATACTGTTCCTTTCAGCTCTCACCTGCTGTTTGTGGCACCATAGCTGTGACAGGACTTGACCAGCCACTCCAAAACTTAGTAACTTCACCTCCAGGCTTGACTCTCATTTGCAGCGTGCAGTTCTCTCCTGCGTCCAGAGACACAAGCTTATGGGAGTGCTTTGACACCTATGAAGAGTAAGTGTAGACTGCATTTAGTAAATGAGCTGCTTCTATATGTATGATAAGGGTGTGTGTCAAACTCACCAGTGTAACTGTGTTTGATGTGTTTTTGGAGCTGTAACGAATTTCATACTGGGGGTTAACTATAGGATCGTTTAGTTTTTTCCATTCAACTAACATTTGGCCCACCTCGCCAGTTGGATGAAGGGATATATTTGTTGGAGGATACAGAAGATCTTGGAGAAAGACAAACAGATGTATTTCATTTTAATTCATACACTATACAAGAATGAAAACTTCAAAGTAAATTGTTGTTGTTTTCCTGTAGCACTTACGCTGATCCTCCACACTGACATTGCGATTGTAGATGGTTGTGTTGGTATCTCTGTCTATCACTCTGAGGTGTATCTTGACATACACGAAGACATCACTTGATGGGAATGTGCAAATATGCAGGACCGTTTTCTCATAAGTTTGTTGTTTCACATCACATCTTTTTTCTGATCTGTATGATAGAAACATGTTTGCTTGAAACAGGTCCTCAACCACCATAGATACAGAAGGGTGACACATCCCCCCATCCCATAGTTTTTCTGATTTTTAAAAAATCAGTTCTTTCAGTGACCTAGCAGACTCAAAGCAATCTGTCTAACTTCAGCCATTTCGTTACAGTAAATGATCCATTAATTTGAGTTTAAGCATAATATACTGTAGAAAATGAAAGTACTTAAAGTCCTTACTCATCTATTTTGTAGAAAAAATAATAGGACTTTTCAGCAGGTGCTTCCCAAAAGCAAGTGAAGGTTTCTAGATCCCTGGTGAAACATGTTGGGTCCTCATCCATAGCCAAGAGAGAAAAATCTGAGAATGAAAAAAAACCTTCCATGTAGCTACAGTACTAACAAAATGCATAGTTTTGCTGCATCTAGCACTCACTGAAAAGTTTACACTTTGCTCTACTAAATGCACCCTCAATATTCATGTCTTGAATTAACACTTGTTTTTCACTACCAAAACACAACTAGAACAGCTATAACAACTCTTCGGCAGAACTAACTGTCTTGAATTAACACTTGTTTTTCACTATCAAAACACAACTAGAACAGCTATAACAACTCTTCGGCAGAACTAACTTTACATAAAATAGACAAGTGCACAATCAACAGACTAACTCACTCTTGTGTCTTACCTTGCTTTGATAGGTGAGGCTCCAAATGCACCTGCTTGATCAGACAGGAAAGAAGTGAGTTGGAGGAAATGGAGTTGCCGTACACTGACTGACAGCTCCTGGTCCTGTGGCAGAATAGGAGGAAATACCCTTGACAGATCAGCAAGTTGCAGCAGGGAAGGGGCCTGACCTCAACCACACAAGGAGCGAAAGAAAGAGTAAGTACTTTCTGTTCCATATCATAATCTACGGTTGTCTCCAAATGCCTCTGTGATGAGTCCCGTCACCACATAGATGCTTTATTTATCCAAGTAAAGACATTCTCTTAACGTTCTTTAAATGATTACAGGATGGCTATAGCATGTCATACATATGTCATACGTAAAAAACATATAAAAAGATCATAAAAATCTTTAGTGGCTTTTTATGGTCTGATAAACAACATAAACATTATGTACAGAACTCACTAAGGCTGAACAAATGAGACTATCAAAACACAACTAGAACAGCTATAACAACTCTTCGGCAGAACTAACTTAACATAAAATAGACAAGTGCACAATCAACAGACTAACTCACTCTTGTGTCTTACCTTGCTTTGATAGGTGAGGCTCCAAATGCACCTGCTTGATCAGACAGGAAAGAAATATCCACCAGTTGAGCGCTGAATCCATCACGTACACAGGGCATCCATATACATATGACTATTCAAGTGTCTAGATATGTTAGTGTTCAGTACTTAATGTTTTTAGAAGAGGGCGGGGAGGTTGGTAGGTGGTCATCAGACGGGGCCCAATGCAATAGGAAGTGGTTGCACTGGGGATTGAGGCACGCACCCGGACTGCCAAAGTGCCTCCTTCACACACACATATATACTCAAGCACTGCACAACTTTTGCAAAAAAACTCTGTGCTCAAAAAAGGCATTATATTATATTGCACAGTAAAATGTGTAGCAGAATATAGACCAATTGAAGAGGTCACACTTCATATTTAACACCCCAGGGATGAGATATCAAGCCTCTGACAAATTCTAATCTTGAGTTCCTTTTTTGGTACTGTCTTTCAAACCATGAGAAGTGCAATAATGAAATTTCTGTCTAGAGTGTGGTTATGATAATGAACAAATGAGTTTCAATAAGGACAATACATCGCTTTCTCAAGTGCTACATTGAATATTACTGGCGTTTTTGTCCACGGAATGAACTGCATTTGATGTATGTCCATTTCAACAACCTCACACAATGATTCTCCCAATAAAAGATGGAAAAAGAGTTCAACGCATGGTCCAGATCCCCACAGACCCAGTGTGCTACATCTGTAGCTTATATTGTAGGTTCCATTTCCTCTTGAGTAATCCAGCATGTCCTGAGATATGAATCCTTACAGAATCTAGAGTCATAAGAGTGTCCTTTCACAGTCTGTTCTCTATAGCCATGTGGTCTTGGTGGAGTGTCTCTTTGAACGATGGAACCTGGCCACAGGGGAGTGACAGTAGCGCAAAGCCCTACTGTGATGAGCCTCCCTTGGGTTATGAACCCTTCTTGGGTCTGGGGGGGCTGGTAGTCAGGCCTCTTCAGCTGTAGCATCTATTCCAGCATAAGTGAAGTTCTCAAAGAGAGCCATATTGACATAGGCCTGGAAGAAAGATGAGAATTGGAGGTTGGTTGATGGCTACATGCAGACAGAACTGCTATTTGTTGTTTATCAAAGAATCCAGAAAAATGTATTGTGGTTTCCACAAAAATATTAAGCAGTTTTCAATATTGAGAAGAAATGTTTCTTGAGCACCAAATCAGCATATTAGAATTATTTCTGAAGCATCATGTGACACTGAAGTCTGGAGTAATGGCTGTTCAGCTTTGCCATCACAAGAATTCATTGTATTTTAAACTATAGTAAAATAGAGAACAGTTCTTTTAAATTGTAATAATATTTAACAATATTACTGTTTTTACTGTATTTTTGATCAAACCAAACTGAAACCACCTAGCAACCACACAGCAGTTCCTCTGGTAACCACCCACAAAGCCTCCACATGGTGGTCTGAGTTTTACATATGCAAGCATCAGTCTGTTTTTTCCTTACCTTCCGTGCCTCTTGCATCCTATTGAGCTGGACAGATATTTGTGAAAATGGCGGTCGCTCGTAGGGTCTATCTCGCCAACACTGCCTCATAAGTTCATACCTGTATGGATAATTATATATCAGTGATTATAATTACAATAATTAATACGACTGCAGTCAATCAATATGGAAAGTGACTACAAGAACGCATGAACGTCTGTGCTTACACTTCATCATCACAGTTCCTAGGCTGCTCCATTCTGTAGCCCTGAGGAAGCTTCTCATAGAGCTCAGCACAGGTCATCCCACAGTATGGAGTCCCACCTTGAAGAGAACAGATTCATAGCGTTCATCTGGCCGAAGCATGTTTATAATGTAGTAGACAACAATTTATTCAAATTGGTATGAACAAACTTACCTAAACTTACAATTTCCCACAGAAGAACTCCAAAAGACCACCTGAAAAACCAAGGCAGATATTTTAATTAAAGAATAACCAGGTTTAAGAAGAAAAAGATCTGTAAAATCTTGCTGATGGCAGATAAAGTCAATGCTTATGACTGCATTGTTTGCCATGTACACAAGCCATTCTTGTGTTTAGAAACAGCTAGACGGAGAGCAACTGAACGGAACAGAATACGGAGGTCACGCAATACGTTTATTATTAAAAGTACATTTTTAAACATGATGAAACTTCTTAAAAGAAACTACCTTTCAAAAGTTTGAGTTCAGTAAAATTCTGAAAGAATGTTTTTGAAAGTCTCTTATGCTTATCAAGGCTGCATTTATTTGATGAAAAGTACATTAAAAATAATATTGTAAAATATTATTACAATCTGATTTCTATTTTAATATATTTTAGTATTTAATATATTTATATTTATAAACATGTTGGAAACACTCTAGTCTTCAGCAGCATTTATTTGAAATATTTAAATTTGAATAAATTTAATGCATCCATCCTAGCTGAAAAGTATTTAATTTATTTGAGAGAAAAAAAATCTTATTGACCCCAAACGGTAGTGTAAATATTAAAGCAGTTATGGGGGATGATCTGTAATTACACATGCTGGTAAGAGTAAGAAAAAAAAGTAATCCACTACTGTAGATTACTATATGTTAAAGCTAACACTGATGTGTGACTGTGACAATCAAACTCCATGCTTTGAGGGAAATCAGTAACAGGCTGATGTATGTCATGTTGGTCATGTTGTTTTCAAAATCTTCAGTGCGCAGTGTTCTTGAGTGGGTAAAAAAAGGTCGTTTTGACAGAGGACTGTGGTCTTGTGGAACATGCTACTCTAAATTTGAGCTTCCTGGTTTATGTTATCAGTTCCTTCCTGCTTATTTATCAGTTGTCCATTAAAAATTGAGAAGGATGAAGACATGTTGTTTTGGATTGAAACTTAGGGATGCCATAGCACTTGGTGTTTTCAAATATTTCATCAACAATTAATCCCTTTATGTCACATTTTCTTAGAAAATAAAGTGTCAGGCAATAACATTTAAAATTCACTTAAGGCATGAGATGTTCAAAGCGATGTTAATATGTGCAAAAACACAAAATTTACAGGATATACTCACACATCACTCTTTGTGGTGTAGACACTGTAGTTTAGTGACTCCATAGCCATCCATCGCACAGGCAGTCTTCCCTGAGACAGAGAGAGAGCAACATTCAAGCAGTTTTATGAGTAATTTAGATACACTATGCACTCAATAGGCCAAGTAAGTAAAGGGAAATTAGTTTTATCATCTCATAGCTCATAGATATGGTCCTCACCATGGTCTTTTTCACATACACCTCCTCGCCACGCGAGAGGCCAAAATCTGCGATTTTAGCCACTAGGCTTTCTCCCACGAGTACATTTCTGGCTGCCAAATCTCTGTGAATGAACTGTTTATACACAAACAAGATAACCAGACACGAAGTTAGGCCATGTATTAATAATATTAATGTGGCACAAAATCTACAATGGCCTCATCAAATTGAACAATAAATGTAAAAATAGTTTTTATAAAATAATTAATAATTTAGAAAATTATTGCTAATAATTAAACAAACTACATGACTGTAAGTAATAAATATAATAAAATGACTGGGCCAATATGACAATTAAAGGAATATTCCACCCAAAAATGAAAATTTGCTGAAAATGTGAAAATCAGCTGTTTGGACTCTCATTCTGACGGCACCCATTCATTGCAGAAGATCCATTGGTGAGCAAATGATGTAATGCTAAATTTCTCCAAATCTGCTCCGATGAAGAAACAAGCTCATCTACATTATGGATGGCCCGAGAGTGAGTAAATTTTAGGCAAATTTTAATTTTTGAGTGAACTAGGGGAGAGCGGGGCACAAAGTAACACTTTTTGACTTTCTCAAATTGTTTCAAAGAGAAAGGAAAACTTGAAATCGCATCATATGACACCTTTAATTTTGCCCGTCCACATATGGATTCTTAAATAGACACCTCTATAATCTGAAAAACTTTATACCTGTTTGTCACTAAGGTAATGCATGCCGGTTGCTACATCAGCAGCAAACTGCAAGAGCTGCTGGGAGGTGAGTGTGGAGGCAGTTCCATGCTCTTTTGCAAAGGCAGGATCAGTCTCTAGGACACGACTCTTTCTTAAGAAGTCCAAAAGGTTTCCGTAAGGTGCATATTCAATGGCAATGTAAAGGTAGCCTGCGGATAACATAAGCTGTTACATGTCTGCACTATTTAATAGAGAGAAGTTCATATGGCATCTGTGCCAAATAAAGTACTTTGACAAAAGTGATATGAAGCCTTTTTAACATTACTATGTCAAACACTTCTAGTCTTGTATTCAACTGTGTGAGGCACATTTTATTATCAGACCATATATCTAGGTAAAGCCAATAGGTGGTGCACTCACCTCTGTTTTCACAGGCACCGATTAGATTAATTATGTTTGGATGCTGTCCCAATTTGCACAGCACTTCTAGTTCACCAGCAAAGTCTCGATGGTCATTCTCTGAGGCAAACTCTGCAGGTGCACACAACGGACTCACAAAATCACAATCATGTAAAAACAGACTTGGCTAACAATGCTCTGTTGGCTTGTGTTCTTACCCTTGAGCATTTTAATTGCAGCACTCATTTTTATGCCATCTTTTTTGACCATGGCCTTGATGACCTGACCAAAGTTCCCTTCTCCAATGACATCCTCAAACTTAATGTCCTCCCACTCCAGTATGGGATAGGTGAGGGGCTCTGGAGAAGGCTTTGGTCGCCGGGTCAGTGTGAGAGTCCCCGAGTTGAACTGTAAGATAGTCTCTTCTCCCTGAGAATGCATGTGTTCACATCATAATTGTTTATGTATTTATTTATTTATTTTTGTACTTATTATTGTTATAGTACTTATAGTTGAGTCAACTTAAACTACATGTTACAGTATCATCATAAAATTCATCATGTTTATACTTAATCATATATATATATATATATAAAAATATATTGATAAAGTAGATGCAACTATCCCACTATGTTGAATCATTCAAATATAAAGTTCATGTCCACACATTATTTTTTTTGCTGCCACTGTACATACACAAGCATAAGAGTAGAAATTAGGACTGGGAAAATAAATCAATGCATCGCGAATCGAAAAATGATTCAGCATCGATTCTGAGATTTTCAGAATGCATCGCAATTCTTTCTCGAGTCGATTCTGAGCTTAGTTTTGAACAGCAGATGGCGCTGCATGCTTTAGAAACAGCCGTACTCTGCTTGTTTCCAAATCCTAACACACACTTGAACCTAAAATAATAATAATTCGTAAAATTCGAAAAGTTTCAAGCGAATTACAAGGGTGTTGACAGTGGGCTGTGTTTACATTAATCTTGCGTCATAAAAGCATTCTGAGCCGAGGTTAAATTACATGACTCAGC